TCTTCGCTTTTCTCGCTCTGGAAACGTGGCGTCTCGTTGGGAGGATCAGCGATCGAACGGTTTCTCTCCGTGAGTCGAATTACGCCCGATATCGGTTCTTTGGCGAGGAGAAAGAGAAAGAGAAAGGGGAGGAGGGGAGAGGCAGGAGAAGAGGGTTTCTCCTGCGAAGCGTGTTCGGTAATACTTTCTCGAGAGAAGCAATTTTTTCCCGCTCGCGACACGTGTGCGCCAAAGTGTGCGTAAACGCACGGGTATCACCCGCGGATCCAATTTGAGATACGACGCCGGAAGACGCATTGTTCGCGCGGAATAGTACAAATTAACAGATCGGTATCGTGACGGCTGCAATTAACATTGTGTACACTGGGCGCGGTGGATTGGCTTTCTTGAAATCTGACGGTTTAATTAGGCGCCACCTTCGTGGCAGATGCGCGCTCGCTTCGATTAATTACCTCTATACTCGGCTTCCCGTATCGTTTCGGTTCATCTCGCTCGTTTTAAATCGACACGCTCAATGGTAGTCGCGTCGCGACGAGAAACAGTGCTTCGCGACTATTTCGTTTTACTCGTTGACTCGCTGTATTTGTCGCTTTCAAGGGAGACCACGTACACGAGATGGCGAGTTTTCGTATCGCGCTAACGAGCCGCGCCTCCGAGACTACGTTTCTGTTTCGCACGTTCCCACGTATTTTCACTGCCTCGTCGTATTTAATTCAACCCCTTCCCGTACTTTAGCGGGTCAGACTCGCGATGAAGAGTTTCGCCCAAATTGACCGGACACTTGGGCCAAATGTACAAACGTAACAAGCCGAGCTCGCTGACTGTTCCTTTTCCCGTTACGATCGCCACCGAACGTTAATTCCTGTTTACGAGCATCAGTCCGGTCCGTTTCGTCGAACTAAATGGCACGGGAAGGGGTTAACGTTGGCAAAGTCGAACTTTAACGGTGTGCCGTTGCGCTTTCATCTTGTCTCGCCGTTAGGAACCCGCGACCGAAGCAAAATCGACCCGAAGCCAACGCGAGTACGAATGTTTCAGGAACGAGAACGTCACCGGTGAACATCGTGGCAACCGCGACCGTTGTGACGGACGAAGCGTTGCTCGCCGACGACGAGGTAGACAACTGCGAAGGCGAGAGCGAGGGGACGGAGAAATCGACGCAAGAAGAGGACGAAGAGGTGGACGTGGACGTGGAGGAGTGCAGCAGTATCGACGACGGGCCGGTTCACGGCGTGCCGGATGATCTGAGCACAACGACAGCCTCGACGAGAAACTGCCAAGACGGTTACAACGAGCACGAACGGAAACACCGACTGCGAACCAGTTGCAACTCCGACGAGCTCCGGGACGTCGAGTGTCATCTCGAAACGAAGGAACTGTGGGACAAATTTAACGACCTCGGCACGGAAATGATCATTACGAAAACGGGCAGGTAAGCAAAACGTATCGATCGTTTAGCTCGCGCGACCGAGAGCAGGAAGGTCGCGTGACGCGTGCAGGTGCAACGGAAGATAGCCGGGAATCGGGAATAGCCAACGAATCGGCAGATATTCGTCTCGCTTCGAAAATTAACTTCCATTTCGTGAGAGTCGCCGACTCGAGGCAACGAGAGAGAGAGAGAGAGAGAGAGAGAGAGAGAGAAGAGAGAGGAGGCGCCAGGAAGAAAACATTTGGTAATCTTCGTTACGTATCTTGGAAATTCGAAGGAATCGCGTTCCACTTAACCGCGCGTTACGGCTTCGATTTACTACGTGCGAACAAATTCGAAACTTGGTTGCCGAACCAAGCACGCGTTCGGCTAATAACGGGAAAATAAAATTTTTTTCGGCCGCAATTAGGCAACGTCACGCCGCGCCGTTACGGCCCCGGTCGACGGTCGTTAATTATCGCGGTAGAAACACTGGTAGCGCGTTTCGAACAAAAGCCAGTCTCTCTAGCTCGTAGCCCCGTAGTATACCGTTCCTGACGTTGTTGTCCGACGGATACCGGCAAATTGCGACAGCCCAAACAAAACGTCCGAACGAACGTACTCGAACTAATGGATTTCATTGACCGACGTTTTACGAGATATTTAAGGGAGTTTTCGGTGTAATTTATCGCGGCAATTTGTGCCTCTCTCCTGTTTCTCTGTGTGCATACTCGCTCGCTCGCGCGCTCGCTTTCATTTTTATAGGTATGCTAATAAAGCGGTGGCCGCAGCTGCGCGCTCTAAGGATGCGTGACCACGTCGAAATTACGAGATGTTTGCGCGCATGGGAGACCCGTCTCTAACTCGCTGTCCCTTGTAAACCACCCTGCGCCACAGCCTCGTTTTCCACGTCATCCTTCGCGCCACCGTAAAAACTCGAAACCGTTCGAACGCGTTCGATTTTTCAAATCTGCCTCGCGTTAATTACCGCTGC